ATTATTGGGCATCATTTTGAACATAAAATAGAAACTATTATTTGGAGAAGCCATATCAGCTTAAAATCACCCCAGTCAGTGTTAGTTGGGGATAGTTTCCTTTCCTAAGGTTGCCCATAAAAAAAGAAATAAAAGTAACAAAGATTTAGTAATTATTCCTTGTGGCATAACTTTCAAGTGTTGGATATCTTAACAAACAAAGTGAAAGAACAATACAAGAAAGGCAATAACTTAAGTGGTGATGTTATAGCAATTACAAATACATATATATTTATAGGACAGATGAGAAAGCAATGTTCTAATGTTATTTAAATGGCTTTGAACAAAAGCTCAGTGACTACATTATATTTGGATACCAAAATTCTGTATCTCAAACACTTTAGAGGGAAATAAAAGTTATATGAAACATCTTTCACAGAGCCTCTCTCGGCAGACTCAGGTCTGAAGTCTTACCTCTGATCTGCATCTCATCCCATCCGTATGGCTACTGGCATTGTTTTTGGTCCTCCCATTATGCTGTTTATGTCCTCCTTCAAAATTAATGCACATGTTTGACTCTCAAACTACCTTGCTGAATTCTCTGTTGTAGTGCTGCCTCTTTATCCACAGGGTATCTCTGAACTACCTTGGTAATTCTACTTCTAGACTGATTTAGTCTTTCCTGATGAGATCCCTTTATTTTGGAGTCTGAGAGTGTTTTGCCAAAGGTGAGGTTACCATGAGGCTAATGAAGTTTAAACTCTGGATTCCATGCTTGAGATGCTGAGAGCTGTAGAATGTTCCAGGTGGAGAGAGGAAGCAGGTTGCATTTGGGAAGCATTTCTGTGTAAGCATTTATGTTATTCAAGAGATCTTAGAGAAAGGAAGTTGAATATCTAAAGCTCCAGCATTTTAGGGTGATTTCTTTTCACATTCTAAATAAATTTTGACTTTTTATACCTAAATTTGCCTTCATAATTTTGTATTCTTATTCTTGGAAAGAATCACCCAAATTGTATATGCTGCAGGCCACACAAAATCCCATTAGGATCTGCCACTGGTTTTTACTAAATGAGGTACCTGGATGTTTTGCTAGTACTTACCACCTACATTTAGTAACATGCAATTTATAAGAGTAAACAAACACTAAGTAGAATCTAGAGAATCCCCACATCACTCTAAAATCAGTGCTTTGGTGACTCTTTTACAAGAGAACTGGAACTTGTTGGTAGCCAGTATATTTCAGTGTTTGTATTAGTGAATGCTGTAAAAATGGAACTCAGATAACTGAGTTCAGTTCAGTTCAAGTCAGCCAGCCATTGTGGGATGCCTGCTGTGTGTGATCAAGGTACTGGACCAGAATCATTTTTTAGTTTAAATGCAATTTAAGATTCATTTGAAATTGTCTTAACAGTGAAGTATTTTTAGTTCCTTGGAACCCTAGTAGCAGTTCTCTTTAAAGAAATAAGAAATTGGAGCCAATGTGTTAAATATGCTTAAATGCCAGGAAACAATAATGATAAATTGTTGGCAGCAATCATTTGATGTTTTCTGAAACAAAGAGACTTGTCATTCTGCCAGTGCTAGGGGTTTCAGTGAAGAGGATATACAGTGGAAAGTATCCTTTATCTTTTCTGTAGATAGTTTCATAGATGAAGGCCATAGGTAAGTTTGGGATAACTATTTTTCAAACCAAGGAACCTTAAATTGAAAATGAATTGTTATGCTCATCATTTCATCATTCTTTTTAAAATGGGTCATTTGATCAGTATCAAATACTTTGTGTTTGAGAAGTATCATAAAATTCCTGAGAGACAAGATAATATATAATATCAGGTACTGATAAATGTTTTGAAGACAAAGTCAGAGAAGGAGATTGATGGTTGGGGGTGGGGGTGCTGTTTTAGAAATGCTGTACTGACTTCTAGCTATTGATTGAATTTGCCAAGCATATCCTCATTGATTAGAACCTTTTCTGCACTTGCTGTTGCTTCTGCCTGGAATGTTTTGTTTCCTTCAGATGACCGCTTCAGTTATTTTCTGACTTCACTCAGTTTAAAGTAGTGCCATTCACCATTCTGTTCCTTTTCCCTGCTCTACAAGTATACTTTACCATTTGCTTGGGAACCAAAGAGATTAAAATAAATTCTTTGATAAATCCTTGGCTATCTGAACTCTTACTGTTTGCTCTCTGAAATTCAGGAATTGAAGAGATTTTTATTTTATTTTATTAAAAAAAATTGTTTTTATGTAGGCTTCATGCCCAGCACGGAGCCCATTGTGGGGCTTGAACTCACAGCCGTTAGATTGAGAGTCAGATATTTAACCAACTGAGCCACCCAGGCACCCCTTGAAGAGATTTTTTAAAACAATCTCTTGTTTGATCTAGATATCTTAATTAGGAACCAAATAATTTTGTATAGTAAGAGATACTTATTTTCTTTATAGCACTTTTACCTACTGATTTGTCTTTGTATGTGTTTGTCTGCCTGACTTCCTCACTAAACTGTTAGTTCCACAGTGACTGGGAATGGCTGGGACTTTATTTTGTCCACTACTGCATCCCTATCACCTGGAACAGTGCTTGGCACCTAATCAATTCGCAATAAATATGTGTTGAATATATGTATTGATACATGAATGAATCTGTTTGACCCTGTGTCATCTAAATCTTAATTTTAAATTTTTTTTTAACGTTTATTTATTTTTGAGACAGAGAGAGACAGAGCATGAACAGGGGTGGGGCAGAGAGAGAGGGAGACACAGAATCTGAAACAGGCTCCAGGCTCTGAGCTGTCAGCACAGAGCCTGACGCGGGGTTCTAACTCACGGACCGTGAGATCATGACCTGAGCCGAAGTTGGATGCTTAACCGACCAAGCTACCTAGGCACCCCTAAATCTTAATTTTAAAAAATATATGCTTATATTTGAAAAAGGCTTATTTCACATTATTAAGTTTTAGGAAGCAAGGTATGGGATTATATACACAGTATGATTGCCATTTAGGTTTTAAAAATATCAAGTCTTTTCATGTGTTCATTCATTCATTCCTTGAAAGAAAACTCACTAATCATCTGCTGAGTGTCTAATCTGTGTGTTAGGTATTCTAACTCAGCTACAGTTTCATGATACCAATCGTGAAACACTAGTAAATGAATGTTACTCTTCCCCTTACTCATTCTTTCTAGCTATGTTGATCTTCTTTCACTTGCTCACAGTAACCTATAACCTCTTTCCTTTCCACAGGTTATTTCATTATGTGCTTAATATCTGTCTCCTATATTATAAATTCTTTCAGCCTGGAAACCATGGTACCATTTAATCATCAACACCTAGCTCAATGCCTAATATGTAGTAGGGACTGAAACCTTCTATGGCTGAAGGAGTGAATGAATGAATGAATGAATGGATGTTTAGGAGACATACATAGTAGGAACACCATGTCTAATGAAAGTTAGGGGAAGTGAATTTCAAGTTGGGGTCTGAAGAATGAGGATGAATTAGCAAGTGAAGAAGGCTAGGTAGAGTGTTCTGGAGCTTAAGCTCAGACTTCATCCTCAAAGTAGTAGAAGGATTTTATTAAAAAAAAAACCAAAACATTTACTTATTTATTTTGAGAGAGAGAGAGAGAGCACATGTGTGCATGTGTACACATGCGAGTGGGGAGGGGCAGAGAGAAAGAAAGAATTCCAAGCAGGCTCCACACTCAGCCCAGGAACCAATGCGGGGCTCGATCTCATGACCACAAGATCATGACCTGAGCTGATCTCAAGATGCTTAACCAACTGAGCCACCCACACACCCTGAAATAGAAGAATTTTAAACAAAAAGTGGCACTAACAGATTTGCATTTTATATGGACCATTTTTCAGTGGTGTAGGAACAGACTGGATGGACAATGTCAAAGCAGAGACACTGGGACGGTTTAGTGAAAGATGATTGTTGTCTCCATTGGGTTCTCGGCAAGGGGTTAAGAGAAAAGTAAATACACTTGAGAGATTTTTAAAAGGCAGAATAAGTGACTAGTGCCAGTGAGGGAAAGGGAAAAGTTAAGTATGATTCCATGCTTCCACCTTAGGCAAATGGGAAGATTGTACTGTGGACTTAGAGGGAGAAGCCATCTAAGGTGAAAAGAGCCTATGGAATCCTTAAGGCCTATATAAATTGAGGCTGAGCCTTAAGGACTTGGTAATATAGCTGAATTTTCTAGGTGTATATTCTTAGAAAGATGCCTGGAAAGAAATAATCAAAATGTTAATAGTATTGGAAGTCTAGTTCTGTTTCTAAATTTTTCTTTTGATTAAGTTTTGGTTATCATTATTAGTGTGTTTTATGAAGGAATAGTAAACTTTAAAAAATTATATTAGGATCTGTCATAGGAAATGCTGTACCTAAAAACCCAAGGTTACAAAACTAAGGCCTTCCTAGGTAAAATATTGGCTTTTCCCAATGAAAATAAATTATTGGTCCTGAATAGAAGTCTACTGTGGAATGGGTTCATCTTTAGTGTATGTGTGTATGTGTTGGGGGCGGGGGGCAAGAGAGAAGGGGTCATTTGGAAATTTTACTGTATCATTAGTAGAGGGCCTGCTAGACCCAGGAACTGATCTCTTATTTATTCATTGTTTAAAAATGTTTATTTATTTTTGAGAACGAGAGAGAGAGAGAGAGAGAGAGAGAGAGAGAGAGCGCACATAAGAAGGGGAGGGGCAGAGAGAGAGGGAGACACAGAATCCTTAGCAGGCTCCAGGCTCTGAGCTGTCAGTGCAGAGCTGGATGCAGGGCTCTAACTCATGAACTGTGAGATCATGACCTGAGCCAAAGTTGGACACCTAATGGAATGAGCCACCCCTTACTTATTCATTTATCCTTAGCCTTCAGCATAGTCCCTTACACTTAGTAATGGCTTAAGTGAAAACTGTTGTTTTAGATTTGTTGTTAATATGTTTATTTTTGTTTGCATCACTAATTCACTGCAGTTGTTATATAATGATGTTATTTGTGTCATCTTGGTTTTTAGGTAGATTGGGGTCATCTGGACTATTTAGTTGTTGACATGCCACCCGGAACTGGAGATGTGCAGTTATCAGTCTCACAGAATATTCCCATTTCAGGTAATCTTAAACTTTAATTTGTGCTGTATTTTGCTATTGCCATACAGAGAAACAGACTCCATGACAGGCAAACATTTTTATGTCTCAAAAACAATCATTTATAAATTTGTCTTTAGAGATCAGATTCATAAATTCAGTTTTTTAAAATATTAGCAGAATGAATGTATTTACAAAAACATGGTGGTGTTATAAGTCTATGTTCTAGAAACAATAACAAATATTGTTTAGGTAGAACATTGCTGTTTGCTTCACAGCTGTCATGCAGTGACAGCATAGTGCCTGATACATGGTGGACACTCAGTAAATATTCATTGAATAAATACTGAATACAAGTGAACATTAGGAAAATTTGGCTTTTTGGTAAATACGAGTATGGGAAAGTTTTATATTCAGTTAATTATTTGATGTTAAAGTCAAGAGAGCAATAAACATACTAGCTTACATCAACTACACAATATTTCATTCTGGTAATAGATATCTTTTCTATGATATGGAATTTAAATATCAGTTGTAAGCTTTTATGTTGAATCTGTTTCTAAGGATTTTCCTAAATTCCAGTGGAGAAATAATTGTAAATTTCTCTTATTTATAAGCACTTTGGGAAAGTAATAGAATTTTAAAATGGCATTACAAATCAGCTATCTATTGGCAATAAATAACCAAGAAATACTGCTGATGCTTAATCATCAAAAGTTTTAGAAGCTAGATTTTTTTATAAGATGTACACATTAGTCAGAAATATCAATATAGCATCATTAAGATGAATTTTTTTAAGGCTGCCCCAAAGAGCAATAAAATGAATATTTTTGATATTTAAATTTATATGTAACTTTATTGGAGTCTGAGATTTCTTCTTTAGTGAGGCAAGCTAGAAAGTAAGAGATGGGAGTAAAGTGAGGTAATAGAGGAGAGTAGTTGAGTGTGCCTTTTTCAGAATCAGCATACTAGATAGTCTGCTTTTTCTTTTTTTAAGTAGTTTTGGGAATTTTATATTTCTAAATCTTAAGAATGCTCGCTAAATATTTATTGAATAAAATGTGCTTTCGGCACCTTGAAATTCCTGTTGCATGCTCCCAAAATGCTTACATCATTCACGTGGATAATATATTGATACACTTGGGCGAAATTATCTTGTGTTCCCTGAACTGGGACTTGGTACCTTGAAAAAGTTTAATTTACTTCACACAGATAAACTGATAGCCCTAAGAGATTTACTTTTGTTTACTCAGATAACAGCCTCTCTCTTTGGACAGGATTTATGATTATATCACTCTTAGAATTTATGCTTATATTCTAAAACCAACAGTGTGTAGATTAAGGTTAAGATTCCCTTTTTTGAAGATTTCTTTCTTATATGCTAAAATTTAACCAGTAATATTTCTTTATTCACTTCCTTTGATGAAGAGTCTGCCCTATAATAAGTAGGTCATTAATATCATATGATAATAAAAAGTAGTATTTTTTTGTTGTGGTGGTGGTAAAACATAATAGTTCAGTAGTATTGAGTATATTCATATTGTTGTGCAACCATCACCACCATCCAACTACTGAACTTTCTCATCTTCCCAAACTGAAACTCTGTATCTGTTAAATAATAGCTATTAATTCCCTCCTCTCCCTAGACCCTAGTAGCCACCATTCTTTCAGAAACAGTATTTTTTATGTTAAGATGAGGGAATAAGGAAAATATATTTTTAAAGATAGATAAATATTGATATATCTAATATTGGCTTTATACTTCGTTAATAAAATTTTAAATCAACAAATATTTATCCATATAAAGGTAGATTCTAAGCCCTGTGGAGGATCCACAGACTATTAAATCTCAAGCATTTTCCCTAGAGCATAGTTCTGTACCTTTTTTGATACTCAGACCTTTGAGATTTGATTAATATGTGGGTTTTCTGCAGGAAGATGTATTTGTACCTACAGAAACACTATTTTAATGTGTCATTTTAGGAGGCTCACAGTTCTCAGGTGAGAAGCCCCAGCTCTAGGAGACAGAACAAGGGGAAGGGCAGGGGAACAAGTGTCTACTCTGAAAAGAACTACAATGCAGAGTGTAAAAAGTGCTGTATGAAAAATCTGAAATCTGTGCTGTGTGGGATCAAAGGACAAAGAGATCATGGATTTGAGGGGAATTGTAAAACTTAATGGAGATGAGACTTTTAAAATGTTTATTTATTTATTTTATGAGAGAGAGAGAGAGAGAGAGAGAGAGAGAGAGAGAGAGAGAGAGTGCAGGGATGGGGCAAAGAGGGAGAGAGAGAGAATCCCAAGCACGCTCCACACTCACTGCGGAACCTCATGCAGGGCACAAACTCAAAACTGTGAGATCATGACCTCAGCAGAATTCAAGAGTTGGATGCTTAATGGACTGAGCCACCCAGGCATCCCTGGAGATAAGCATTAAAGAATAAATACAATACATTGTAGAGCATTCAAGATAGCACCGTACCTTATTTGCTTTGCTTTTTCTTGGCCTAAGGGGAAGAAGTCAGAAAATGAAACTTCGGGTGTTTATAATTCTATTATAGAAACGTAACATACCTTTTACTTCCCAATTCTGATCCATTAAAAATAAATAGGGCCAGGTATTAATGCTGCTTTTGAAAATTCATAAATTTAGTGATTTCTGAACATTGGAAGTAAAATTATTGTTTATCAGTGTTTTCTAAATTTTCTTTAATGAGCATGTATATATTTAAATTTTTAAAAAGTAAATAGAAAGCAGTAATTCTTTAAGAACAGATTTCTGTATAAATTGGTGCCATGATTATTGCCTGTTACTAATAAACTACCATTTAAGGACAGTCTTTGATATATTAAGTTTTATATTTAATTATCATAGGTATTATATTTTCTCATTTGCTTAAATATTTGAAGAGTTAGGCAGCTTTCTGAAGATCATACAGTTAATGGATCCTACCTGAGGCTCATACCAGTTCTGATAAAGTGTAAAGCCCAGGCTCTCAACCTCTACATAAAACTGTTCTAATACAAAGTCCAACACTGTTTGACTCACTGATTTTCTGAGTTTAGTTCTAGTCTATTCAAACCCATTTAAGTAGAAATTACTCTATTCTTGATCTCTGATAAAAATAAATTTGTTCATGAATATGCCTAAACCTGTGCAATCCTATATGATAAATATACAGCCAACGGTTTGTATGAGTGTTTACTAGGTTCAGTTTTGTTTCTGTTTCAATTCCTGAGAGATTGCTTTGAGCCTCTTTAACTTGTCTATTCCAGGGAAGGTCTGGAGACAGTCTAGAAGCAGTTTCCTTTGGCCTGTAGGAGTAGAGCTCCAAATGATTCTTGGAAAGACCACTGTCATCTTTGGGCAGATCATTTGGCTAGTTTCCAGGCATGCTGGCTATCAGTAAGAGTTGTAGCGGTCAGTTGTTAGTACATTCATACTGTGGATTATTATGTCAATATTAAAGTTAACAACAATGAAAATACTGGATTTTCTATACTGACTATATCTTAATTTTATACTTCGAAAAAAATCCAGCAGTAAAAGTATCCTACCAAAAGGATGTAATGCGGTTGGGGTAGGAGGCGGGAGGATACATGTGATTGTGATTGTGTGTATGTGTCTGTGTGTGTGTGCATGCACACTTGTGTGTGTTAAATGCTTATCAGTTCCTGAGGTTTGGTTTAATTCAGGCCAGCATCATTTCATAGGTAACAAATCTGAGCTGTCTCCCAGGAAGTGTACCAACCAGAGAGTTGCTGGCCTGGCTTGAATCATGGCTTTCATCAGTTTATATTATCTGGAACAGCCTGTCAGATTCATATCTGCCTTTCTAGGCCTAACTGAATTATCTCTTCTCTAATTATGAACCAAATTTTCCTTTTCTCTTATATTTGACTTTAGAACTCTTTTAAGATACTGTGTTCTACCTTTTCTTATGTCCCATATCCTGTAAAACATATAAGCCTTTTAGACTCCCATTTGAGCCCCTCTGTGATTTGACTTCCCTCTCCTTCCTGCCAAACTCCTTCACATAATCTGGAATCCCTTCCCAAAACCCTTATGTAGTTACTGCCTCCTCTTTCCTCCCTTACAAAGGCTCTGTCTTTATATACATTTGACCCTCATTTAGACTATCTTTCTAATCAGTGGGTATCCATATCCTGCATACCCTTTATTTCAAATGTCTACTCCCTGTCATCTTCCTCCTATCCATAGTTGGGAATCATTTCTCTCTCTTTGGAATTTACATAGCATTTCATTTAGACCACTTCTGTAGCACTTCTCATGTTCTCCATTCATAACCTGCATAACTGTGTTATCTTCTGTAACAGACCATTTACTCCCTGGGGGGCTAAGGATTTGTTTCATTCTTCTTTGTATTTTTCACAGTGCCAAACTCTGTTCCTTCCTGTAACCACTCAGGAAATGTTGAATTGGGGAATGAGTGTTTTATCTGTGTATCTGTATTATCTTCTCAAATAGGATGTAAGCTGCCTGAATGCAAACTTTTTCCTATTCATCATAGGACTTACAGTACCTTGAGCAGTAGCTTATGCAATTAATAGTGATTGAATAAATAACAAAGCTATTTGACTAGCTATCACTGTTTATGTAAACAGATTTGTACCTCCTTATCGTTCTTACCATCCTGCTGACTCACTCCTGTGATCTCCTCCACCCCAACTGCTCTTATCCAGGTGTTTTCTTGTATAAGTTTTAAAAAGTATTTATTAAAAACATGCATTTTATTTTACTCTCCTTTTGCGAGAAACATACTTTCATTTTAAGGATTTATTTCTGCTGTCCTTTTTCCTCTTTATGTATAATAGCTTTGTGGTCAGATGATACCTTTTAGTATTTATTTTGGCATCTGGGAAATAGTGCTCATGTGGACACTTGCTGTTTGGTTACATGCAGGCTGTGTATTAAATTAGTAGTGAGAATCACTAGCATTGCTCCATTCTAAGACAATAATAAATTCTCTCATTTACTTCCAGGGATGCTTAGTAAGGTGCTA